AGTTCAGACTGAATTAGAGGCAATGCTAGAGATGGGGGTAATAGATGAATCCAACAGTGATTGGGCGAGCCCGATAGTTTTAGTGCCAGGCAGAATTAGAGGCGATGTTAGAGATGGGGGTAGTAAAAGAATCCCACAGCGATTGGGCGAGCCCGATAGTTTTGGTACCTAAAACGGACGGCTCGTTTTCGGTTCTGTGTGGATTATCGCAAGGTGAATGCTGTGTCGAAGTTCGACGCGTATCCAATGCCGCGGGTTGATGAATTGCTTGATCGGCTGGGTGCTGCTCGACTTTACTCGACACTGGATTTAACGAGTTCAGCGAGGTCTGCATCGGGAGAGAGAGGCAGGAGACGAGCGGTGCGTAAGTAGGTCAAGCGCAAATGATAAACACCTGTGTCTCGTTTCAGTAATTGGTGTGGAGAGACCGGATAAAAGGGGCCACCTGGAACATGATCGGGAGAGAGACTGACTGGGAACGCGAGCCACCCGGCGAGATGGGAGATAGAAGCACGAAATCATATGTCAAGTTGTGTTATGAGTTATTGACTGCGAGATTGGAAGCGCTGAGTGAGCGCCGTTTTCTGTTGTGTGCACCGAGAACTCTAAATAAAGCTCGCGTCCCAGCAAGCCGACCCTGTCTTCTTCCTTCCACCCTATTGAACCATATCACAACGGTCATAAGAGTTAATACAGGCAGGGTGTTAAAAACCGCCTGGAGGATTTCGAATATTTTGAATCACTACCATGAGACTTTAGTACCCATTACCCATTTAGTAGCTCTTATGGGCTACTTGTCTGCCAATCCTGTTTAAACGTTTAGACAGTATTGCGGACACTGAGATCTGAGTCTGACGAGGACTCAGCCTGTGTTGGTGTTAAAAAAAGAATCACGTCCAACAACATCCTGATATAGATGTGTCACTTACAAGAGATGTTCACACAAGAGAGTTGACATTATCTGCAGATATCTCTGTGGAGAATAAAACCAAGAGTGAATCCACTCCGACTAGAAAGAGTAGTGGGAGGTCAGCTATTGTGTCGGCTTGGGATGGATTTGAGTTGGAATTCGTCTCAAAATAAAGGATTTGTAAGAGTTATATAGATAGATGTTGTGACTTTTGAATCTTGTACCATTGAGCTCTAACCCCAGGACACGACTCGCAGGTTTCTGGGTTTAAGGCAAAAACAACCTTACAGTATAAGCAAATCAAGCCGCTCAACTCTGTAATGCCCTGTTGCCACAGTGATTCTGTGTCACATAAAAACACCCAGAGCTGTCAGTGTGATCCAACGCTCGAGTCACCTCTTTTCTGGATTCTGGTCACGCTATACTTATCGTTCCATTGACTTCCATTCATACACATAAAAATGCAGGAGACAGGCATCTCATGTGAATTTTGTTACGTTTCAATTTTGGTACAATCTGCCCTGCGAATTCGTATCAGGTGAATATGTATAACCAATAGAAGATTGATATGTCACGGATATGATATGTTTCCTGAATTAAAAGAATGCAAACCTTAAATCCACAGGATTGCAGCACTGTAGTAAAGTTAAGTAGACTGAATATTTCAACATTTTGGATGTATTAGGTGTTAAATTGTTTAAAAATAAAGATGCCAGAGACTGTAACATCATTATATGACCATGTTTCGCGTGCTCAAAGTCTAACAGTTTTAGGGTATATTTATTCTGGCACTTTTCCAACAGTAATAAATTAACATGAACAACTTAAATAGATCATTCCATTTACTTTCACAATGTATTGAGGGAAAAGGACACAAATAAATAATTAATGCACTTCAACGCCATTGTCTATTAATGCAGTAGCACAGGCTTGCATTTATATTTCAGACAAAAGGGCAAAAGTTTATGGATGCCTACTTTGATAAGCATAATTATAACAGAGAACATATTCTGGTCACACTTTATTTTAAGGTCCAATACTTGCTATTAACAAACCATTAACTATGATTTTTGCCTCAATAAACTCCTAATTTGCTGCTTATTAATAGTTAGTAAGGTAGTTGTTAAGTTTAGGTATTGGGTAGGATTAGGGATGAAAATATGGTCATGCAGAATATGTACTTTATAAACAGACAATATGTTAATAATAGGCATGCTAATAAGCAACTACGGTAGTTAAAAGTGAGAATTGAGGTATTACAGATATTCTTAATAATAATATAATATCAATATATTAACACGTTATATAACTCCAATGTAAATATTAATTTAGACTGTAACAGTTTTTACTCTAACCTGAAAACCCCTTGTAATGATCCACACGGATGACATGCATTTATCTAGTGATCTACAGTATATATTTGAGCATTGACATTTCTGAAACCTAGTCTACCAAAATTATTTTCTTACTATATTCAGTACTAATATACTAATGATATGCACATTCCATGTTTGACAGTTTTATTATATATTTCTGCATTATTTGTTTGTGTTGACAGACAAACTATTGGAGATTTTCATTGAAGCCTTGTTTTTAGTTCAGGACTGAGAGCTCCTGTATGCCTTTAAGTTATTAACAACCTTATTTAAGTGTCAGTTTTGGGGGAACAGTAAAATAACACTCATCTTTAGTGAAGATGATTTTAAGAGGAGTTGCAATGTTATCAAGAAACCCAGACTCTTTCAATTAACATATCTCTAATTAACATATGCCACAACTCATTCTGCTTATTCGGACACTTTCAGTGCTAATGCCCCAATATATATTTTACAGCTACAATTAATGTCACTGCTAAATTGTGATTATTTATGAAGGAAAGTCTTACAAACTAAACAAAAGCGATTTGTGTTGTCACTGTATTCATTTTTCTGACATTATCACATATTGCATGATAGTTATGTTGCGATATTGGTTCAGCATTGTCTCATCCTGAATATTGGACATTAATGTCCAAGCACACAGCTAAACTTTCTGTACGTCCAGGTTTTTCTCCAGGTTTAAAAGTTTGGGTTAAAAATGCCCAGAGTGGCATAAACCCGCAGGGATATTTACAATCATCTGCCAGCTTTAAGAGCGTTCTTTCGGGTCTCATTCGGTCTGACAGATGCTCTTTTAATTCCTGTGGCTCTATCTCCTCAGAACAGAGCGAATCCTTCTGCTGCAGTCAGTGGCTTTGGCACCTCATTTACACTTTGAACCCCCTGCAGTAAGTCTCGACAGGTCTCCGTCCCGTCCGCTCAGATAACTCTGTCTTTCCAGCCATTGTCTACACATGAGTACTAACTGACTGCAAATCCTCCGCAGGATATAAGCAAACAGGCCCTCTCCAGTCCCAGCCCAGCATCCTGGTGGAACTGTCTTGATGTAATAACTGAAAGGTTGTTGAATTAAACATGAATGTCTAGGATATGTGCACTGTAAATATTTCAACTGTACAATCAGTCTCATCCAAGTAGGTTATGAAATACTTTGAATCTACGTAGTAGATGTTATATGTTATATAGTGCTTTTTGAGTCACAGAAATACTTTGAATCTACATTAAAATGTATGTTAGACCTAAATTTGTTCTATAAACAAAATGTTTTATTTATTTAATATAAATAATATAAAATTCTAAGACAATTTAGTATAAATATAATTTGATTTATTTATACATACATACATACATACTGTTTTGACTTGTTAATGTTATGTGAGCTCCCAGCAAGCCCTGTAGCATGAATAAATTATGGTTTTGCATTTTCTTGTTTTTTTATTTTTTTTGTCATCACAGCTCATCTTTTACTTGATGATGTTGACTGATTGTCACCGTTAGAGATTTGTGTCTTGATTGCTGAGGTCATGTGTGTCTGAATAATAATGCATTTAGGTTCTTTATTTCAGAAGAAAATATTGTGTTTACTTCATATAAATTGTTTAGTGAAAATTCTTGTTGCTAACTGGTCATTACCTGAACTAAAAATATAGTTATTGTGACAATAGTTCATGATGTTAACAAGACATTTTGCATTCAGTGAATAATCAAATTGGCTATATACTAAGTAGCATTAACAGAAGCAATTATTAAAACAGTTGAACTCATCATAGTGCCTTGCTTTTTCAATTTTAATTTTAATTGTGTAAACAGGGGCATAACCTTTCAAGTTCAGATTCACTATGCTTCCAGAAGAAATTAAAAAGTATTTTTACCAAAGTAGCATTTAACTGATCAAAAATACAGTGCATATTATTATTTGTTGGCCCCATTTTCAGCAACACTGTCTCCAGTATAGTAAAATAACAATGTGTTGCATAATCCTTTCTCATGCGCTAATTTAGTTCTCATGAGACCTTTCGTATTGTTTTAACACAGCTGTGCTGCTTAATGAAGTGTGGAAATAACATACAAAGCCCTTTTCAGCTGCTGAAGTACTGAGTACATTTTACATGTCAAACGTTCGATTTTGATTCCAAAAATGGACCCCCCCAAAAATTTTTTTTTTTTTTTTAATTTGTCAGTTTTTTGTTCTTTTAAGCAAGGCTATTTTCTACGCAAAGTATGCATATTATGTCTTGAAAGAAGAAAGCAAACCGGATTTAACCAGGACAGCAAAAGAAATCAGATGCACAACTTTGTAAGAAGACAAATACTTCAGGGTCTCTAGTTTGAGAAACAGATGCTCAGCAGGCAGCTTCATTGAACAGAAAACAACAGAAATCAGCTTCATCTGCAAACATCAAGAGAAGACACTAAGAATCTGGCAAATAAGAAGAAAAGGGTTGGACGGGTTTGAAAATAAGATGGTAAATGTTTAGAAAAGAGAATTATTGATTGATAAAAGTTTGAGGTGTTGAGTTGTTGTGGGAACAGTTTCGTTAAAGTCTGTGAAAATTGCCCAAAAAGGCAACACCTATGGGAAGTACTGCGAAAAGCATGCACTGTAAATTCCAATTAGTAAACCTTACTTAAAAAAAGCATGGAAGTAATCAGTCTTTGTCCAGTGGTAAAAATGCAAGCAGTCTCAGCAAATTCGGCGCACAAATTCAAAAAAACGTTGCTTGTTGCGCATGCTCTCTAACCTTCCGTACTTCTTCTTCTGTTGTTTTGTTGCACAGTAGCAATACATTAGCGCACTGCTGCCTCCCACTGGTGTATTAATGTCATCGGTTTTGTTGTGGCTACTTGAATATTTTAAGTAAGAGTTACTCATTGCAGCAAGTTGTTTCATTCGCCTTAAAATTAGCTGTTACTTAATAAAACCGAGTAAGTATAACAACTAAGTAAAGATAACTAATTATATCTAAGTAAGGTAAACTATTGGATTTTACAGTGTGAGAAAGCATTCAACTGAATGTCTTCTTAAAATGCCAGAATCTACGAGTTCTGCACAGCTGAAATTACTGCACATGGAGGATAGCAATTAATAAAGTCATTTATATAATCATGTAAGTTTTTGTAAATTTATATAAGTCATGTTGATCAATTTAATGCATCTTTTGTAAATACAAAAAAAAAAAAAAGCTCCTTTAAAAAACAATTCTTGTAGTGATTACAATATTAGAATGATTTCTGAAGGATCGTGTGACTGGAGTAATGTTGCTAAAAATTCAGCTTTGAAATCGCAGGAATAAATTACATTTTAAAATATATTCAAATACAAAGCAGTTATTTTAAATAGAAATATTACTGCTTTTGCTGTATTTTGGATCAAATAAATGCAGGCTTGGTGAGCAGAAGAGAATTATTAAAAAAAAAACATTAAAAACTATGATACAACCCAATCTAATGAGAAACATAACTATTTTACAAGTTAGCTATTACAAATGAATTTGTATGATTTTATTTGTTCTGAAAAGATTTATAACACGAAAAAAAAAAACATTTCATGAATAGCTGTACTTATGCAATAAACCAGAGACAGCAATAACATTGAAGCTGTGATTTGATTGCAGGCTTTTGCAATGTAAAGAAAAACATAAATAAAATATCTATTTCAAACATAAGACGCAGCTAGAATAATTTCTGAACCATAGCTGAAAAGAAAACAAGGTTGGTGGTTATAAATCATCACATCAAATCAGAATATGTCAGACCTACTTCTTGTATATGCCTTGTAAAATGCCTTGATCTGACTCTTTAGTTTGGCAACACAAGTGAGCACAAACACACATAACAGCATTGCATCGATTGATTCTAGCAAGGTTTGGGTGTTCCAGAGTAAATCTGTGGGAAAGTAGTTTGTGAACAACAGTTATTCAGTGTGATAACCGAATGGGACTGTCGTGCAGTCTAGCTTATAGTGGCTGTAAGTACATCAGGTGACAAATGCTGATCTACATTGATGCTCAACTACAGTATAGACAGTTATGAAAATGTATAGTGTATTCAAATAGATGCCTTCAGCAAATGGCATTGTGAATAAATAGCTCCAGTGGGTTGATCAACGCTAAAAGCTTTTCAGAAATGCCTCACGGTACAGCTTATTCAGAAGAAGAGAGAGAACGGCACGCTTCCTCAAAACGCCTTTCTGCAGCCCACATGTCTGGTTTTCTCTCATGCTGCTTGATTTAACCGGAGCTCAGTAGCTCTACAGACTGAACAGAAGCACTAGTACAAGAAGCAGTCAGTCAGTTGAATCTAAAAGTTAGGTGACCGTTATATAACTGAGAAGGTTTTAGGGGATATGCCACTTTGTTGAATTTCTTTAGCTCAGTGATTCTTGCCATTTTTGTCTTGATTTTTATCAGCCGAACCCCTTTGACCTAAAATGTTTACTAGAAGTGCCATCTGAGATTTTAAGTTCATATCTGAATAATTAAACAACATATTAGCATGTTCAGTTTTTATTTTCAGTCTTTTTGTTTTAAAATTATGTATTTGTACTTTTTTGGGATTTCATTAATTAATTATTAGCTCGCAAATTTTTTAATTAATGAATTATTAACTTCATTAACTCGTGAACCCTTTTCAGTTCCCTCACAAACCATCAGGGACTCACGAACCCTAGTTTGGGAAGCCCTATATGAACTTGAGTAGTTCAACAAATGAACATTTGCCGAAAATGTATTTACCATCAGGCCATCCGAGATGTAGATGAGTTTTTTTCTCCACTGAAACAAATTTGCAGAAATTGCATCACTTACTCACCAATGGATCCTCTGCAGTGAATGGGTGCCGTCAGAATG